GGATTCACAAGTTTCAAAATCAATGTTCTAAAGCAGCGGTTCTTAATACTGCCCCTGCTCTGCACACGCTCTGCATCTCTCTCTCTCTCTCTCTCTCTCTCTCATTCAGCTCAGCTCCGACAATGAACTGTTACAATTACACTTATTTTCACATAGCTATGAGAAACATTAAACATGGACGCGCGTGCATTTGCCGTACTGTATTAAAGCTTTAAGCAAGATAAAACCGTATATTAAAAGCTAACATAAGCAGTAGCATTTACAAATAACAGCGTATCTAAAAGTATGAGACAACAACAAACAAAAAACATAGGCCTACCATTAAAAAAAAAACCCCCCCCCCCCCATTATTTCAAATGTCAATGTTCAAAATGATATATTTAAAACATTATACATTTTTGCTTTAGAAATGATAATTGCTTTAAATGCACCCATTTTTATTTAGAGGTGGTTAACATAAAAGCAAGACATCAAAATTAATATGCCCCTTACTTTTTCCAAGTATTCCAAAGTATTTAGATTAAGTTACTAAACTTGAGTAATATAATGAAATATGTTACAAAATACGTTTTAATGCATCTATTTTGTAATCTGTAGTAAAAAAACATTTTAAAAGTAACCTTCCCAACCCTGTTTATTAAATGCAGTTGAACGTTTTTTGACCCGTGCACTTAAGTAGGACTTAAGTACATCTTTATATTGCAATTTATTACATTTAATATTAATATTATTAACTTTAAATGTAATGTCAAATGATATACAGTTAGAATTATAATCAAGTACTTTCCATGTGCTTTAGTATGTTAGTCAACACATTCTTTAAAGCACTTTATATTTGACATTATTACAAAATGTAGTTTTTAAAAGTGTACATATGTGTGTTAAGAAACAGTAATGAAAAGTGAAGTGCCTTCACTTAAGGCACGTAAGAGTATATAATTTCATTACAAATTAAAATTATCTGCATGTCCAATTTTTAAAAAAAGGTTTGGGGTTTGGATACACTATAAGTGCACATTCAATACAGTTAAGCACACTTATTTTATATACTTTTTTTCACTATGTATAACATGGCTTCTTGTATCTTATTGCCTAATTATGACAATAATGCAAATAATTTTTTTTAATGAGGTAATGGGTTTCTTCATCCAAGGCGAAACTAAAGCAGTTTTGTAACAGTCCAAAAATGCACGTGGCAGATTATTAACCAACAGCCTC